CACGGAACTGGTATTCTGATTTCTCCTTCAGGTCAGTTACAGTGAATGTTGTTTCTGTCACATCAAATCTATTGACTTTAGTCCAGAGTGATGAGAATCCTTCTTTCTTTTCAATGATATATCCCTTAACAGGTGCACCACCATCATCCAAAGGTGGAGTCCAATTCAGAGTCATCTTGGTAGCATCAATGTCAGAGACAACTGGCTTACCAGGAGCATCAGGTAGACCTGGGAGAAAGAAAAAAATATATTATGCGTTACATAATACAGCACTAATTTTGTATTTATCAGCAACAAGAAGGCATTGTAATTTGTATTTCTGCTTAATTTCATTCAGTATAATTTATAGCACTCAATTACAAAGCAGGTCAAATTACATACCATATGGTGGTTTGGCAACTTTTGGATCTGATGGTTCACTGTATTTGCCAACACCAGCTTTGTTCTCAGCAGCAACTCGGAATTGGTATTCAGAACCCTCACTAAGTTTAGTAACAGTGAAAGTTGTATCAGTCATTTTGGGTTCCATGCTGACTTTACTCCATCTTGATGAGAATTCGTCTTTTTGTTCAATGACATAACTTGTGATTTTCGCACCACCGTCCGACTCTGGCTCTGTCCATTTGATAGTCATGGATTTTTCTGTGGCTTCCATTACCTTTGGTTTCCCTGGTGCATCTGGAACAGCTGGAAACGCAAGAAATAATTTGAGATGCCATAAATATAAATTAATTGGAACAATGATTTCGGTATTGATGAGCATAATAAACATTTGTTTGAAATTTAACACACTGTGCTGAATGCTACAAAAGAAAAAAATGTGGCTGTGAACATGTTAACATACCATAAGGTGGCTTAGCTGTATGTGGTCCAGTTGATTTGCTAGGTTGACCAACACCAGCTTTGTTTTCAGCACAGACGCGGAACTCATACTCATCCCCTTCAGTTAGCTTTTCAACAGTAAAGCTTGTTTCAGAGACAGCTGTCTTGTTGACACGTGTCCATCTGGTACTGAATTGTTCTTTCTTTTCAACAAAGTATCCTGTCACTGGAGAACCACCATCATCATCAGGTTCAGTCCAGGTCAGTTTCATGGATGTTGCCACAATGTCTGACACTTTGGGAGTGCCTGGTGGGCCTGGTACATCTGAAGGATCCACATATATTTAGTTAATATAATGAGGATTTGGCTAATTTTGATATTATCACGAAATCATTGGCAGTGGTATAGTGTTATATAATATTGCTGTTCACTACAACCATGACTGGCATGGACTAGAGCTGTTATCCCACAAAGCAGCACCGATTTTTTGAATTGTTGTTAGTGAACTTACCATATGGTGGTTTGGCAACAACAGAGTCCGATGGTTCACTGTATGTTCCAAGACCAGCTTTGTTCTCAGCAGCAACATGGAATTCATATTCTTTGCCTTCTTTAAGATCAGTCACAGTATATGTAGTTTCACTTATGACATACTTGTTGACTTTGTCCCAGCGTGTTGAGAATCTCTCTCTCTTTTCGATAGTGTATCCGCTAATCTTGGAACCACCATCATCCATTGGTGGTGTCCATGTCAAAGTCATCTTTGTGGCATTGATGTCAGAAAGAACTGGTTTGCCTGGTGGACCAGGAGGATCTGAAAGTTTTCACCAAAGAACATCCATGAATATCTTATTCCTTTGTCATAGTATCAAACAAACATACATAGCATAGCCAGGACTCTTACAATATGAAAGTCCCAAGAAAATCCTCACCAACAGGCTTGACTTGACTTGAAGAAATTTTGTACTCATATCTACTTATATCATCTCACCAACTTACCATAAGGTGGTTTAGCGATCCTTGGATTTGATGGTTCGCTGTATTTACCAATGCCTGCTTTGTTCTCAGCAGCAATTCTGAATTGGTATTCTGATCCTTGAATGAGGTCTAGTACAGTGTAAGTAGTGTCAATCACTCGTTCATCCATTTTAGTCACTTTAATCCATCTGGAACTTGTGCTTTCTTTCTTCTCAATGATGTATCCTGTAACCTTGCTGCCACCATCATCAGCTGGAGACCATGTCAAAGTCATTGATGTTGCATTCACATCAGAAATATCTGGCTTACCTGGTGGGCCTGGAACATCTGAAATATTCACAAAATCCAGAGATACTCAACAAACAGTCAATAAACAAACTGAAAGAAATATTTAATGTTGAAACAACACTTTGCTCAACTTTACCAGATAAAGTAAAGGATTGACTAGAACACAATAATAAAAACTATTCTTCTGCATGCACCATCCTTGCACAAAAGTTTGACTAACCATATGGTGGTTTTGCAATAGCTGGTTTGGAAGGCTCACTGAATTTGCCAACACCGGCTTTATTCTCAGCGGCAACTCTAAATGTGTATTCATTCTTTTCTTTCAGACCTTCCACAGTGAAAAGTGTTTCAACCACTTTAGTTCTGTGTGCTTTCTCCCATCTTGTACCATACTGATCTTTCTTTTCAATCACATAGCCTGTAATTGGGCTGCCACCGTTACTATCAGGTGGAGTCCAAGTAATTGTTATAGATGTGGAATTTGTTTCTGTCACAGTTGGGCGACTAGGAGCATCTGGAACATCTGGGATGTAGAGAAGGATGAGGAAGTTGAAGGTGAAGAAGAGTGTGAGTAAGAAGGAGAAATACAGATGTTACAAGAGGAAAGTAAAGTGCTATATAAAGAGATTTTGACAAGAGATAAAACCTGTGAATAACAGGTGTTCGAAGAAGCTTTGAGAACAAATGCTATGAACAGCTGCGATGCCATTTATACAATTGTAGTATCAGAAGATCATATTTTTTGGAATGTAGATGCCATACATCTTTATCTGCATTTCAACCAGAGCATGCCATCAGCAGAAGTTGGCTCTTACCATATGGAGGTTTACATTTCACAGGACTAGTAGCTAGACTTGGTGGACCAACCCCAGCTTTGTTTTCTGCTGATACTCTGAACTCGTATTCAGATCCCTCAGTGAGGCCTGTCACAATCAATGTTAAGTCTGTCACTCTGTCTCTAGTAGCTCTAGTCCATCTACTGCTTGTCTTCTCCTTTCGTTCAACAAGGTATCCAACGATTGGACTTCCACCATCAGAATGTGGAGGGCTCCAAGTAAGTGTCACTGATGTTGCATTGATATCAGATATGATGGGAGTACCTGGTGCATCAGGGATGTCTTCAGGGAGATAGATTTATGGCAATCAGTATACAGAATCATGATGACTTGAATACTAGTCAGATGCCAACACAAACATGCAGCTACTATCTGAACAATGAAAACCCTGCTTTTAAGTACCATGCAAGATAAGAAAAGCTGACAAAAGAACTTGTTATGTTTAGGAATGGATCCAAAAAATCTAACATCTCAATATGCCACAACATGCCAACAAAAATATAAGCAGCTGATCGTGCTCCGCAAAATCCATATTTCTATTAAAACCATAATTCTGCCTTAACTGCCATGTTATAAAATAATAGCCTTCTAAGCAATCATCTATCTTCAGTGTGGGAATTAGAAGAGTAACACATCGTGCAGACCACACTTAGTTAGACGTGGTAAGCAGCATACATGCATCCATTAAATGCATGTCTTACCATAAGGCTCTTTAGCGACTACTGGAGAGGTTGGTTCACATGGTGGACCAAAACCAGCTTTGTTCTCAGCAGAAATCCTGAATTCATACTTGTTTCCTTCTCTGAGGTCAGTTATTTCAATTATCAACTCTGTTGTTTTGCCAGCTGAAACCCATCTTGAGCTGTACTGGTCTTTACGCTCCACAACATACCCAGTGATTTGACTACCGCCATCAAATTCTGGTGGCTGCCAGGTAAGTGTTAATGACCTGCTACTCACGTTACTGACATCTGGTGTACATGGAGGACCAGGTACATCTTTAGATAGAAGTAAGTTTTAATATAAGAGAAGATGAGGATTAGAAAGAAGGGGGAAGGTTGTAAGGTATAGAAAAATGCTCCTCGTCTTACCAACGTGTGTGGTCAACAATGTGTACTTACCATATGGAGGTTTAGCAACAATTGGTTTGGAGGGTTGACTTGGCTCGCTTACTCCAGCTTTGTTCTCTGCACTCACTCTGAACTCATACTCTGTGTCTCTGATTAAGTCAGATACTCGGAATGATGTTTCTTTAATAGTAACACGTGTGGCTCGAACCCATCTATCTTTTGTGGTGTCTCTCTTCTCAACGATGTAACCAGTAACTCTGGCTCCACCGTCAGAATCTGGAGGTGTCCAGGTGAGAGTTGCTTCAACATCAGTAACCTCGCTGACATCTGGTCTTCCAGGTGCATCTGGAGGACTAATCTTCAGAGCGACCACATTGCTTGGTTTACCAACACCTGCTTTGTTCTCAGCACATGTGCGGAACTCATAGTCATTACCCTCAATCAAATCCTTGACTTGGAATGTTGTTTCCATGCATTTACCAATAGATGACCAACGAGAACTGAATTTCTCTTTTCGTTCAACTGTGTAGCCAGTTACAACAGCACCACCATCATCCTCAGGTGGCGACCATGTTAGAGTCAATGATGAGGGCTTTGATTCTGATATAGTAGGGGTACCTGGTGGGCCTGGTACATCTAAAATTGCAATGAAGATCTAATTAATATATCAAGACATATAAGCAAATAATGTAAAAGAAATAATTGTACACAGTTGACATCAGGAAGAGTTGACAATAGGCCATGCATTTTCACTTACCATAAGGTGGTTTGGCCAAAACTGGGTCTGATGGTGGGCCAAATTTACCAACACCAGCTTTATTTTGGGCAGCAATTTTGAATTCATACTCGGTTCCTTTGATAAGTCCTGTAATTACACACGTGGTTTCTGAAACTGTTTTATCCATAGCTTTCACCCATCTGGTTGCCATGCGATCCTTCTTCTCAATGACATAGTTAAAGATTTCACTACCACCATCATTATCAGGTGATAACCATGTGATTTTCATGGAGCATTCAGTCACATCTGACACTTTAGGTTTACTAGGAGCATCAGGTACAGCTATGGAAGGTAAGGGGTCAAAGGGCACAATTTAAACACCGGCTGGTATATAAAATAGTGAACTTACCATGCACCATGCTGTTAGGTTCATAAAGACTAGAACTTACCATGCAGATTAGAATTACTACCACATTGTGTCTAATAATGGCAAGTACTACCACATTGTAGCTAATACTGGCAAATACTACCACATTGTAGGTAATACTGGTAAACATTACCACAT